GGAAAGAGAAAGAAGCTGGTGGAGCGGATTCGAAGGGCGGAGCCCCGGCTGGTCTACGCCCATGCGGCGCATCTCGTTCGATTCAATTAGAAAATTGAACGGGGAATCAGCCAACAGCCGGGATCATGATTTGGCTTGCGAATAGAAAGGATCCGCTGTATATGATGTAAGATATATTGGTCACGCAAGGCTAATTTTCATCTTCTTTGTTCCTCTTATTTCTCAGGCTTTCTCTCCTTTCTGATCACTTCAAATTGCTAAGGTATTTCTATTGGGTACCTGATTATGCTAGAAATATGTCTTATTATCACTTCTCCCATCAAATGAGTCATTCGTGAGGAATACCTGATTGCGTAATTTGTTATATTTTTCTCTAGTGACCGCCATTTTCGTTATTACGTATGCTGAAAAGTGTTTACGTAAGATAAAATTTATCTGCTAGTCATGTATAATATCAAATCATACTCTTGGTACGTGTTACAGGACTAAAAGATAATATTATCAATAATAAAGTTTGGTTTAGAGGTTATGTAACTTCAGTGTCGATTCCTCAGATCGAGAATAGTTAAATACAATACAGTATTTCAATGCGATGCTAAATGATATGGTAACTCGGTGTTTTAATAAAGTAATTACTACAGGACTCATAAAGCAAGGAGTTAAATCAGGCATATCCGAGCTAAGCTTCAAACGTAAATCCCTCCTCTTACTCCGCGCTTGCTGCAGCTGCGCAGTGCGATGCGCGTACGATAAGAATGACTCCCGCGAAATTTTGCATACTAAGTGCTTACGTTCTAACCTAACTTTCTTCAAATGCATTTCCATTGTAATTGTGGACTTTGCCAAACTAATATCCGCGGTTACATGGGTGATGTAGAAGGGGAACAGCGTGAAGGGCACCACTCGGTAGGCATGCGTGCCTTGAATCTATAATTAAACGTTAGACGAATATATTTCGTCGAAATTATTTAAGAGCGTCCTATTTTAGAATTCGGTGGTGGACTTTTAATCTGAAGAGTGGAAGGAGGATCAGGGTGGTGGATGCTCGAGTGGCTTTCGATAAAGGTCGTCGTAATTAGCGGCAAAAAGGGCTGTAAATAGTAGCGGTCAGCGCACGATCCTCCTCCACGGCTTGGCACTATAAGTGGCTTTATCTGCCTTTTTCCCAGGGCCGACGCTTCTCCGGATGGCAAAAAGCCCACTGTGTCAGCGTGCGTTACCGTCAACGCGTCGTCGCTCGACTTTTTCACCGACCCTTGCTCGCGACTCGATGTCGAACAAATTAACATTCTTATCTGTAGTTGGAAACGTGGCTGATACTATCTGCGGAATTAAAAGTGGACTTAATGCCGCTTCAAGGGGATGTCTCGATGACTTTGTTCCGGGGAAAATGATCTTGGGCATTTAAATCCACCGTCTTGTTTACGATGGACAGTGGCTGATCCCTCCATCCACGAACGAGCAATTCGCACACTGTATTACTGTTAACGAGACAGCGATTGCTCCACGGTTTTATCCATGAACTCCGTTGATAGGTCTCTGCAGCAACACCTGAGGCGAGAGGTCAGAGTTAGCGGCGTGGTCATCAGGCCTGAAAGAGGAAATAATGCTTTCTAATAGAAGGTAACCTGTCACACTTTTACCTACAATATTACGCGTGACTCATGGTAAGGAACTTGTAGCAACAAACGTAGCGAGAGTAAACGTGGTTCGTAGATAGGGTCCAACGCAAACATTGTCAAATTTGAACAGACTCGTGGTTAACTTTCGCAAATGTTTTCTTGTTTCAGTTGCATGTTAGGACGAAATGGCTCGACGTGTGACCGATCTTCCTGTTAACCGTCCCACATGCCATCGGAGCTTCGACAGTTCTGTTAGTAATATTTATTTCACATCCTTACAATCTTGTTTGATAACTCATCGTAAGAATAATGGAAATTTTATCGTGGTCCCTGAGCGTACTGTATAAAAAGTGCATGACAATCAAAGTGTTAATAGAATTATTAGAAGAGTATTTTCTAGGTATTAAATCCATAACTATATTTTCCTTAATACCTTTGTTTCAAACTCGTCCTTGATTTTGATTAGATTTGCTATAAATGGTAAGAGATTACACGGCCCCAATAAACTTTTCGTTGGATTTTGTAAAAGAATAATTCTACTGTTAAGTGAAAAGTTGTCAATGTTTGACTACAAAAATGATGAAATTATAGATCGACATTGAATTCAAAATAATACAAGCAAATTTTTCAAATTTTGAATACCATTTTTCAACTTCGTAATGATCTTTCCTTTTCTTCTTCAATTTATTTCAAGTAAACACGACTTGACATGCCCTGTCCAGAAATTTCACGCGTCTCAGGAATGAGCCGTTGAAAGTGAGGTTTACAACGATAAAGATGATTTAAAGGAGATTTTCTGGGAACGGGATCTTTTTCGGTAGCCCTTTGCCGCGTGGTCAAAGGACTCGAGACCGATTCCGAGCAAGGAGAATCTTCCGACGGTGTTTCTTGAAATGCGATACTGTTCGAATTTATATTAACCCAGATCAGGGATCGTGTCTCCTTGACAATGAGCTACTGTGCTTATAGGCCTGGAACGAACAAAAAGGGTTTGTTTATTATTAGAATATCGAAAAGCACCCTTTCCTCCAGTGTCTCGTCGCATGTTTCATAATGGATCAAAGTTCTCGTTGTTTTCATTCTTCAGCATCGTTGCATTCCTTTGTTCGTAGAACACAGGTTTCGTATAACGTGGTAAATATACTCGTATTTCGCGTAAATTTCGTAAACGAATGTGCATCATTAGAGGATCGTCTGTGATATTCGGTACTTTGTTAAGAAAAAAAAAGCCATAAAGAAAAAGGCAAGGATATCCTTTCATATGCTTACCAAAGATCCACGGTTTAAAGGGCTACCGGATTTTCATGAATGAACCCAACGAGCGGACGTAGTAAGAGGAAAAGGCAACCAGTCTTCACGACCGTCTACCAGTTTATGATATACAGAGGACACGTGTACATGATCCCAGTGTTTATGTTTTCAATTTGTGACACCGGAACGGATCCGAAATCTGGCACAATCGTGGTCCTCCTTAAAGGAGTCATCGTAACGATCCTAACTAATTTGTATTCTTTCTTGTCCTGACATTTTCTTCCTGGAAATTTTTAATTCTCTCGTTAGCTATTTCGTTAGTTATTTTATTTTATTCAGAAAATGTTTAATGACGTTTCTTTTATGACTATATACCAGCGTTTATTTCTAACGCTGATTTTTATTTGAGTTTTATACAGTATACAAAATGGCTGTTGGAATTTGCGAAAATAAGTTCATAAATGGTGATTTATTCGAAGTTTGCAATTTTTTAATTAAAAGATTCTGATATTTAAAAGCTTTGCAATATAAAAATTCGAATATTTAATCGAAAAATTTATTTGTGAATCAGAAAAATAATTGGTCGCTCTTAATCTACTTTCGCAGTCTTTGAACAATTAATTCCTTTTTACTAAAATTTAAAAGAAATTAGTATTATCCCACTATAGTTGAATTTTTGAAGAATCGTTAATTATTAGACAAATTTTAATCATTTAGTCCCTTCTTCATATTCCGCTGATGCTATGCGAGCTTTTCTCGGAACGTCAACTTAAAATACGTAGATTAATCGAAAAAGATTCCACAGAATACAATAAGAGATACAGCAGACGTATTAAAAAGACCGTATAAATCAGCTTGGATCAATAAACACGGTCGGGTCTAGTGTTAACCGAAAAAAGTTTGCAGTTTCTTCCTATACAGTTCAAAGAACAATAAAGTTGTTCTGTTTTCTAACAATGGTTGCGAATAAAAATGTACAAGAGAAAAAGCTAATAATCCAGAACCCTACCACCCTATATATACTTGGCTTTGAATGTCCAAAAGATCAAAATAAATTTCAATATAAACACCACCAGATATGGGGTCAAAAGAAGATGTAT